AGATAATGAATCATTAGGATGATCAGTATCAATAAAAACTGTATTGGATTCTTGATTATAATATGATGGATCCGACATTTTTCTCTCATTTTTATAAGAAATTTCACCAGGAACATGTGAATCATCAAAATAATCGATATCTGGTAAGATAATTAGAGAACTCTGATCATTAGTAACTTTTGTTTTAGAATGACGAAATCTATTTGGTACAACTGTATTCACTGTACTGCTTGATTTGTTTCCCGTTTCTTCGTAGGCAGGTATTGCAGCAATTTCATGAGTGTTTAACAAGACATCGTCTTTATGTGGACTGGACAATTCACTGTTTTCACGTTGTGTTCGCGGGAAAATAGGATTTGAATCAACTATAGGTGATATCTGTGAAACGGATAGTACTGTACTACTGGGCTGATCACATATGACTGCGACTGCTTCATTTAAATCACTGTTTGTAACAGATTCATGGAGGCCTTTATAATAACAATGTTCATCAGCTTAATGTGACCTCGATGAGGGAAAGTTTTCAAGTTGAAAATTAAATACTTGTCAGCGAAATAAATATAAAAAAGATAGTTCGAAAAGAGACGAATATAGAATCATACTAAAACTAAAAATCACGAGGAATTTAAAATCCGAATCCAATTGTAACATTGAAATTGCTTTTTGCCATTTTGTCAATCTCCAATAACTGACTATGACTATTGTATAGGGTTTAACCAGCAAGGATATACTACCAAACATTGAGGAGGACGTTGAGGAGCTAGTGATTACCTGAAGTGATACTGTAGTGGACAAGAAAATCAGTGGGAACAATCGAATGTATTACAAACTATCACACTAGATTCTGATAACCATAGTGATACGTCTGTAGGTTGAACGCTATATTCAGATCCTAAGCTATTCTGATAACCCCAGGCTAGAACTATACAGCGACGTGAACACCAGGGAGAAGACTCGAGTATGAGAGAAAACACTTAACTGCAAGGTTCATTTATGTACGGAAAATACAGGGATTTTATAGTAGTTAAGAGACCTTGAGTTTACATAGTAGCAGTGTGTTAATCAGCCAATCAGGATCTCGTTATTTTAGTAACATAACTGCACACAACTCCTAATTAATCGCTGATTGGTCGGGGCTCTTTATGAGCCTCTGGAGGCTCTGTTAGAGTTCTCTGGAAGCCGACTTAACACCTGTGGACCATCCTCACACATAGAGAGAACAGTGACTTTGCAAAATAACAATCAATTGTATCAATCTTCAATGTTCCTTTCTGTTAATATCAATTTGTCTTCTCTAATTTCATTGTTTGTACATTTTCCTACCATTTGCGCTTCATTTCATTTCTTTCCTTGTCGGTCTTCTACCAAAATACATTGTATGTCTAACCATCATAATATTACTACTTATATGGATATAAGTAGACCATACCGCAGTACTATGAATTCTGAATAGACTTCTCCAATTTACGCTCAACTTGATCATTATTATAGTTTAGAGAAAGTGGTTATTATTAATATGTAACTGATTTCCCAAAAAAAATTAGTCGATTAAATACATTTTAATTATTACGCTACACTTTACTTCATCATTGTTCGCTTACCTGGTGATTATATCATTTCAGAACAGTGTTTCAAATACACATAGGATCCAACATTTTGCAACCTAAGTATTTAGGTTAACCTTGAATATCAATGTCATTTTATCAAAGTAATCTGTTTACATTTTTTTGTTAAATACTTTTGTGCATATTAGATCGTGAATGCTGAGGAGTCCCATACTAAGACTAAACGGCTGTCTAGTGCTTCCAGGTTTTACACGGTGGTCTAGCTTTAATTGATTCATGAACTCAACTATTAAATTATTACAATCTCAATAAAAGCTCCCCTTTTGATAATAATCATCATGTGGTCATGTGACTTCAATAGGTATTTCCTGGAGTTCTAGTTAGAAACCATGAACAGTAAAGTTCATTCAGGTTTGTTATGAGATATTAACTCACTGAAGATAATGGTGGACGGTTGCCCAATTTTGTGGATTAGTTGAAGTTAGACATTAACACTGTTGGATGCTGGCTCAATGCGTCTAGAGGTTAAGTGTTCGCCCGCGAGACCGAAAGTCCCCGGTTCGAGTGTAATGTACGGGGCCGTGGTATGTGCACTTGTAAGTAGTTACATATTGGAATGAACTTAAAGTCCAGTGCTTCCATGTTTTCCATGGTGGTCTAGTTTCCATTGACTCATGAATTTAACTATTAAATTATTGAAATCTCTACACAGCCCCCTTCTGATAACTTTAGATGAATTGAAAGTTAACCTACTGTGGGAGAGAACAAACCAGCTTCCATTTAAAGAGAATATTAGAAAAAAATTTTGGAGATGGATAGAACATATATTACAGAAATCATCAAACTGTATCACTAGGCAAGCCCTTACTTCGGACCTTGAAGGAAAATAGAAAAGTGGAAGACCAGAAAACACACTTTGCCGGGAATCTAAAACAGAAATCAAATGAATGAATAACAGCTGTAAAAGAACTGGAAAAGATTGTATAGGACAAAGTTGGATGAAGAATGCCGGTGGATGGCCTATGCTCCTTCATGAGTGATAGCGGACATTCTGAAAAATTTAAATCAATGACTTCTTTATCATACTTTGGTGTCTATTCTTATCCTTATAATAGTGATGTGTTTTTTCATGATCCCCTAATGATTCTGCGTACTTGTATTACAGTTTAATTCAATGTAGATCTATGAAATTTTTCTACTAAGATAAGTCTGTAGTACCAGTTCATATGTTAGGCCCATATACTTTATTCTAGTTACTGGCCAAGCCAATTCACCTGTACATTGAGTCATCTTTTGATCTTGTTAATCATTTGCTTATTAACCTTGAGTACTTTTTATATGAGCGCATATGTGTACACTTCGTATCTTATTCATCATATGTCTGTCACTCATTTTTGTCTGCCTATAAATGTTAGTTAACGCTTGCTTAAAATGAGTTGGCTTCCCAGCCATCTCCACTCTGCGTCATCTTTCCTTCGCTTGCTTACATTTGCTAATGTGCTCACTGCCTTCTAGCCTATGTTAGTTATCAATAAAAATGTAGTTGCTGCTTCCCTTTGTCTTCTGATATTATACACCGTTAAGATTGGTATTAATAACGGTTATCGAAGCGAACTATGATCGAAGCACGGCACTACAAGTCTGACTGATTCTTATTTACATTTTCATAATCTTTTATAAGTGATAATATACCTTAAAATTAAACAATATAAACCATTAAATATCAATTAAATAGTTTAAAGGTTAATTACTTTCCTCAAAATTTGAATATCTTGGGTTCAATACTTGATGGGATCATAGATGAGCATATCTACCGAATATTTCGATTAAAACAAAAGAGTTATGAAGTATTTCCTTGTTTACAAACTTTGTATTATCTGTATATTGTTATGTATATATATCCATATTTAACCTGTAGACCACTGAGCCGGCATACAAAGATGTTGATGAGTCCCATAATAGGACGAAACGGCCTTGAAGCAGTGCTTTCAGGTTTTCCTTAGTAATCTAACTTCAATTGACTCATGCTTTAAACTATGGAAATACGGAAATCTACACACAAACACCTTCTGATAATAATAATAATCATATGCTCACTAGTGACTCAATTCAAGAGATAATTCCTGGAGTTCTAGTAAAAAGCAGTGACCAGAGGAGTTCAAACCAGGTCTGTTGTGAGATATGAACTCACTGAAAATAATTGGTGAACGGTTGCTCAAACTTCGTGGATTGGTTTAAGTTAGACATTAACACCGTTGGATTCCGGCCGGCTAAATGGTCTATTAGTTGAGTGATTTGGCGCAAGACTAGTAGGTCCTGGGTTTGAATCTCGCTGGCAAGGCGGGATCGTGGATGCGCACTGTTGAGGAGTCCCACAATAGGACGAAATGGCCTTGAAGCAGTGCTTCCAGGTTTTCCATGGTGGTTTAGCTTCAATTGACTGATGCTTTCAACTATGGAAATACTGAAATCTCCACACAAACTCCTTCTGAAAAATGTTAACATTAATATACTCATATATATATATACTTTCTAGAAAATGATAAATGTCTATTGAAATAGACTATTGTTCCAACCTAGTTCCATCATTTAATCATTATTGATTTCTTTGCACAAATAAGTAGATACCCATATCAGAAGGGGAATTTTAAGGAGATTTTAGTAATTTTATATAGTTGAAATCATAAGTCAATTGACCTTAGATCACCATAAAAAACCTGAAAACACTAAATAACCGTTTCGTCCCATTATAGAACTCTTCAACAATTCACATTCATGATCCCACCCTATACGAGATTCGAACCCAGAATCTATCAGTTTCTTACAGAAAATGATTAACCTTCAGACTACTAAGCCCGCCATCGAATGATGTTCACGTTAATATACTTATATAATGAAGAATTAAAGTATATATTGATTCATTGATAACTATAAATTATCACCAATACAGAAAAACAACAAAAAAAAAACACACCAACTTATTGTACTTTAATTTAAAATTAAAAAAAAAAAACTAATTCATATCATCCCCTCCCCTCCTTTTTTTTTTCTTTCTTTATATAAAAAATAATTCACTTAGTGATTGGTTAACAAATTTTTTTTAAAAAAAAAAGGTGTCCAATTATATAATTAACTAAGTAAATTAAAACAACACAGAAAAGAAAAAAAAATAATAAAAACTTATTCCTTTTTTTTTAAAAAAAAAATTATTCTATCCAATTCCCCTTTCTTTTTTTCTTTTTTTTCCCTTTTTCTTTTCTTTTTTTTTCTTTTAATTAAATCAATATCAGAAAATAAAGAAAAAAAAAAGAAAAAAAAGGCGCAATTTTTAAATGGATATTTTCGTTTAAAAAAAATTTTTTTTTAAAATGTATCCATAAAGTTTATTTATTTATTTATTTTTTTGTTTGTTTTAATAAATCAAATTCAATAATTATGAATGATAAACAACAAATAATCAATAAATCAAATAAAGTGGAATTATTTAATTTTAATGAAATATGTTTAAAAGAAAATAATCGGTAAGTTATTGATTATTTGATTATATAATCAGAAAGGGGAAGATTTCAATTTTTTTTTTCATAGTTGAAATCATGAGTCAATTAAAGCTAGACCATCTGGGTTCGAATCTCGTTCACGAATACAAAATCGTGGATGCGCTTCTGCTGAGAAGTCCTATAATAGAATGAAATGACCTTTTAGTACTTCCAGGTTTTTCATGGTGGTCTAGTAGCTTCAATTGACTCATGATTTTAACTATGAAAAATTACATAATCATTATATCTGTTACTTGTCATGGTAGAATATAGATAAACTATAAGTGTTCTCTATTCCATGCAGTTAGTTCCCTTTATGAATTTAAATAAAGACAGAACAAATGTTGATGCAGAATAATAGGAATTCATTATATATCATGGTTTCTCATCAGCTGCTTACAATCGAATATTCTATTTATTGATTACGTAATCCACCCTATTCGTTTTTAATTCCATGACTCCTTCATTACGTCTAAAATGATCACTAGTGACTGACTTTAAGAGATATCTCCTTTAGTTCTAGTGGGAAGCAGTGACTAGTGGAGTTCAACCAAGTCTGTTGTAGAGATATCAACTCACTAAAGACAATTAGTGAACGGTTGCTCAAAATCGTGGATTGGTTGAAGTTAGACATTAACACCGTTGGATGGTGGCACAGTGCTCTGATGCGAGACTGGTAGGTGCTGGGTTCGAATCTTACGAGTGTGAAATCGTGAACGCACACTGCTGAAGAGTATCACAATAGGACGAAATGGCCATCCAATGCTTTCAGGTTTTTGATGGTAGTCTATCTTCAATTGACTCATGATTTCAATTATGAAAATACATTTGATCTTATATGTCTTTGAACTTCACTCAATTATTACACCACCCACCCTTTTTGCTTCCTTCATTCTAATAGTTAATAACCTCTGACCCTTCCTTTTACACACATATATATGTATAGTTATCACTGATGACCTTTCGTTATTCCAATCCTTTACATTCAATTATGTCCATTGTTCCATACTATTTATTACCCCAATGCTAACATTGTAATACATATTTGATTGTAAGCAGCTGATGAGATACGATGAAATATAATGAATTCATATTATTCTGCATCAATATTTGTTCTGTCTTTATTCAACTATGTCATGGGTAATACTTTCCCAATTGTTATTTGTTCTTTTTTATGTCGGTTTCTAATTCATGACATAGTATGCTTGTATCTGCTGGGATCATCGGGTAAGTAATAGTGAGGTTAGATGCAGGGTATTAGGGAATGATAGTAAATCAGTTGATGGAGTTGTGAATTTTCATCAACTGAGATGGTTGTGCCACGTGTTATGTATGCTTGAACACTGATTACCATGACGCACTATGCTGACTAGTATTGGAGATGGTTGGAAGAAAGTTAGGAGTGGCCGAAGCAAAATATGGTATCAGTGCTTGAAATCACTAACTTCTAGTCTGAGTCATGTTGGTAGATGCATATTACTTGGTTGGGGTCCGTGTGACTATCGTAACCAATGGGTGGAGACTCTGTATGGCGGCTCACAGTCGACCGCAATGGCGTCGGTGTATGCACTCTTTGTTTTCCCATAAACTATAAGATTAATTTGTTTCATATCTGTCTTTCTTCCTGTATCATATCCTTATATACAATCTTTCTTTAATATATTACCACCACTAAATCAACTACTTTTATGAATTCGGTGTTCATTTTCTTGTTCTAATGAGGTATGGCAACTTGGAACAATGTATATATGTGCTTGGTTTTACGTTGTAGCTGACCGATTGACATGACATAGTGTGTTCTTTAGCCTTTCTCTTTTCCATTTCCATTTATCCTCGTCATACAGTTAGATGATTTTTTAAAGTATTTCCTATCCACTTCCATCATCTTAATCTAATATGCTCCTCAAATGGAAGCTGGTTTGTCCTCTCTCACAATAGGCTATTGCTGATGGTATCCGTCCAATGGATATTGAGTATCTTGCATAGACGACTATTTATAAATACTAGTATCTTTTTGATGATAGTTGTAGTAATTATTCACGTTTCAACTCCGTACAGTGTACTTTAAGCAAAATAAACTTAGACAATAACACCGTTGGATAACGGCCTAGTGGTCTATCGCTTAAGTGCTCAAACGCGAGACTATTAAGTCCTGGGTTTGAATTCCGCGAGTGCGTGATCGTAGATGTGCACTGCTGAGGAGTCCCGCAAAAGGACGAAACGGCTGTCTAGTGCTTCCAGGTTTTCCTTAGTGGTCTACCTTCAATTGACTCATGATCTTAACTATATAAAAAAAGTATTATATTTAGTGAATTTCATGACCTTTAGAAGTACATATGTATTTTCTTATAGAGAATTATAAAGTTAGATATATTCAACACTACCTTACTTAATTATTCCTAGCAACTCCTCATGCTTAAGCCATTAAAGTTTAGAATACTATCCTAGGACATAAATAAGGACCATTAATCTGATCATCAAAATATTTGGATCTACATTACTTCGATGTAAATTTGTTGATAATCATCAGTTTCATTTGATAAGACAATAAATTGTAGTTCCTTTTGTCCCTGGTAATCAGTCCTGTAATCAAAGCAGCTTAAGTCAGTATTATTGCTCTTCAAATACTGTAAACATTTACATTAATCATTTACATGATGAAAAATGTTATCATGATTTGAATCAAGAGGAAAAACATTCCAACTGAGGTTGAAAGAAGACGTCATATTAGTATCTCGTTGAGAAAAAAAGACTTTCTTATTTTTATAGTTGAAAGCGTGAGTCAATTGAAGCTAAACAACCATGGAAAATCTAGAAGCACTAGACCTCTGTTTCATCCTATCGTTGGACTCCTCAGCAGTGCACATCCACGATCCCGCCGCACGATCGAGATTCGAACCCAGGACCTACCAGTCTCACGCCAGAGCACTAAACCGATAGACCATTAAGCCGGCATCCAATGGTGTTATTGCCTAATTTCAACCAATACACGAAATTGCTCGACCGTCTTCCTTTGTACTGAGGTAGATACCTGTATCTACCTGACATGGACTAGCTCCACTGGTCATGACTTCCCACTAGAACTCCAGGAATTACCTCATGGAGCCAGTCACTAGTTAGGATATGATCATTATCAGATGGGGCTTTGACTTGCGTTAGACTTGCGAAAACTTTTTAAAGCATGGTAAACTTAGTAACAGGGCAAGTAATAATCTCATCAGAGTCTGGCACATAATTCAGCAATTTTCGAGAACTATGTGCTTCTTGTAGTGATTGGACGAAATGTTCTCCACTTTTTCCTGGCTTCCGAAGAACTTATCGAAGAATTCTAGAGAGACTATAACATATTTGCACTTGTGTGTTTAGTGCCTGACTCATTTTGAGTAACGAATGAGAAGCTAACTTTTTGTTTTTCATTTGAAGTAAATCTCTCTTGACCTTCAACTCATCATTTCTACTTAATGAAAACATAGTCAAGTGTATTCAACAATAACATTCAGCAGTATTGGGTTGTGGAGATGGTTGACGTTTTGATTGAGATCATAAATCTATGGATGTTAGACCACCATTGAAAACCTGGAAACATTGGACAGCTGTTTTGTTGTAGTGAGAAGTTGTGACCAGTGCAGCTAATCGGTGTCGACTAGAAACAGGTATCTACCTCAGACAATGGAAGATGGTATCGCGATTTCGTGGACTGCTTGAAGTTAAACATGATCAACTTTTGATACCAGCTAAGTGGTCTAGAAGTAAAGTGTTCGCTTGCGAGACCGAAGGTCATGCCTCCAAATCCCCGCGCATCATCGTGGGTGATCACTGTTGTGGAGTCTCATACTGGGATGAAACGGCCATCCAATCCTCTCATGTTTTCAATGATTGTCTAACATTTATCGATCCGTGATCTCAATCAATAACATTTAATACAATGAGGTACCACAGTTAAACTTTAACAGACCTGTCGTTAAGTTTGAAGAGGAGTCACATGATATAGATAAACTGATAATTAAGTTTAGATTTCGATATCTTTTTGAAATATTTTGTGTCAAAGCGTAATTTATTTTATAAAAAACTCACTGTTAAACCGCCTTTAACCGCTCAAGTGTCTCAATGGTAACGCTTCCGCGACCGTGACAGTGAATGATCGGTTCCTGTGAGATTTCCTGCCAGCGTCTTCACCATAACGTATATTTTTATTATATTTCCTTTTCTTGTAGCATTTTCTTATTCCTTTGTTAGGCCTTCCACATATTTCCTCGTGTCAGTTCTAATGCTCCTCTTCACCCGCTCGTTTACTTCTGTGCATTCGACTTATGCCTTGACTTTCCCTGCTCATGTTGGGTTGTTATTGATTGGTGTCTTCTTGTTCTGCCATTCCTGAATCTTGGTCACATTATTAACAAAAATATACTCGTAATCCTGGTGCTACTTGCTCCCAAGCGTCTCCTGCGTTTTTTCCTTTGATTTCTGTACGGTTGTTGTACTTCACTTTTTTTTGCTTTCTTTTGGTAGATTTCATAAAATTCGAAACTTGTTGATGATAGCCATGTAAAACTCGCAAATCTTCTTGGCCTCTAGGACGACGATTGTATTGAAATTTTATGGTGATGCTCAACCAATTGTCTAACAAATCCCTATCTTTAGTTATAGCTTGAGTACCACGAGGTAGTGGTCTGAAAACAAATATCGGTTCCTCTCCTTGTCGTTACGTCTTTTATAAGTCTTTTGAGTTGTTTTTTTTGTTGATGCGGATATGATCGATGTGGTTTTTTATAACATGGTCCGGTGAAATCTATTTTGTTTCATGTATGTGTTTGTTGTGGAAAATGTAAACACCTATAATCATGTTTTGAAGTACATGAATTTATCATTTCCTCATCATTTTCTCTTCTTTCTCCAAGTCGATGTCATCTCATGATGTCTTCGTATCCAGTGTTGTCTTTCCTGACATTGGCGTTTAGGTCCCAGATCAGGTTGGTTAGGTCTGGACATTTCTATGGGTTGAACTCTGGCTTCTCCCATTTTTATCATTTTTGATTATATCATTGGTTGGTGCTTAGCAATCTATGCTATTGATTCCAATCAATTTTTGCCGTGTTTTGAAAGATGTTTGATGATCTTTGGTTCATAAGTTATCTGTCTTTCGAGTGTATTCCGTGTTTATTTGAAAAGCATCAGTGCACTTATGTATAAGTGGGAAGTTTCCCCCTTGATAACCAGAGTAATACAAACTCTCTGAAGTTAGTCTATCTTTATTTAGATTGTTCACGATGGGTTAAATATAATCCCAGCATCACAAGATTATTCCTTCTTATTTCCGCCTTAATTTGTAGACCTTCTCTGTCTTTCATATTGTCCGGATATTTCACTGACGTTTACCAATTTTTGTTTTTGCTGTTAGATTAAGATTTGGTCATGCCCCTCTCGAAGAATCTTTGCTTTCATAATGTGGCGTCATAATCCTTTAATAATCAAGATTTTTGAACTCCCTCGAGAAATTTTAAATAGATCATTTGGTTTATTTTCTCTAAGTCATTTTCCTCGAGGTTCCTTTTTATGAGCTAGAGATGTTAAACCTACATCCAACCCTCTTTAACTTGGCTTGGAGCTGAAAACAACTTTAGGATGCCCCAAGAGGAGTTGATGACCAACTTACAAGTCCTAAATAGAAAAGAAAGTGGGTGTCTTAAGCTCCTCTGCGAGCGAAAATTCAAGTACTCCTTGGAAATAATTAGGAAAACATCTTACTCAATTGCACAGTTACCAATGTTAACATTAAGGAATTTAGACCAAAAACTAAACACTAGAGGTAATAAACGAAACACATTAGTGGACCTTTAAATAGTATCAGAAGGGGTTTTGTCGAGATTTTAGTCATTTAATAATTGAATTCATGAGTCAATTAAGTCTAGACCATCATGGTAAACCTAGAAGCATTGGACGGTTCATACTAGGACGAAACGGCCAACCAGTGCTTTCAGGATTTCAATGGTGGTCGAGCTTTAATTAATATCAGAAGACGTTTTGTGGATATTATAGTAATTTTAGTAGTTAAGATAATGAATCCATTGAAGCCAGACCACTATGGAAAACCTGGAAGCACTGGATAACAGTTTCTCCCTAATGTGTGATTCCTCGGCAGTGCCCATCCACGATCTCGCCTCACAAGATTCCAACCTAGCACCTATCGGTTTCGCTTAATCTTTAGACCACTGAACCGACATCCAACGCTGTTAATGTGTAATTCCAACTAATCCATGAAATTGAGCGACACATCCACCATTCTCTTCAATTAGTTACTATCTCACAACAGACTCGGTTGAACTTCACTGCTTCACTTCTTCCGAATGTTAACTTTACAAATAAGTATTTGAATAGGATAAGTTTTTCTAAACAAAAAAATTCTTTTTATTTTAATCATTGAATACTATAGATTAAGACGCTTACATCATTGTCCTAAATTGAAATTAAGTCATCAATTAATGAAATCAGCACAACACCATTCGGAATATTTACAAAAACAACGTCAATTACAACAGATTGGTGATTTGGTATGTGGTCAAAATATGGCCTTAATTATTGGTCAACAAAATTATCAAGTTGCAGGTAACCTTCTTTTTGTTGTTGTTGTTGTTGTTGTTGTTGTAAAAGTCTTTGTTTATTATTTTTCCTACGGTAAATAGTCTATTCCGAATGAAATACAATGGACTTCTCAGAATCAATTGGACGATTCGACCTGGTCCTCCTATCCCATACACATCAACAAATGTAGATGAAGACAACCAGTGTAGCAGCAGCATCTGTATCAATAGGCCTCAACATACACAAAGGGAAAAGCAAGATCCTCAAATACAATATGGAGAACACTGACTCGATGACACTTGATGGCGCAACTCTGGAAAATGTAGAATCTTTCACATATCGATGAACAAGGAAGACCTGATACAGATGTGAAGGCGAGGTTTGGCAAAGCAAGGGCTGCATTACTACAATTGAAGAACATATGGAACTCAAAACAACTGTTAACCAATATCACACAACCTTCAACACGAACATCAAAACAGTTAGTTCTATAGTACGGTGCTGAAACGTGGAGAACTACAGCAGCTGTCGTCAAGATGGTACAAGTATTTATAAATAGTTGTCTACGCAAGATACCCAGCATCCATTGACCGGATGCCATCAACAACAGCCTTCTGTGAGAGAGAACAAACCAACTTCCAACTGAAGAGGAAATTAGGAAGAGACGTTGTAAGAGGATAGGATACACGTTGAGGAAATCATCAAACTGCATCACGAGGCAATCGCTAACTTGTAATCCTGAAGGAAGGCAATTTGCATCCACGATCCTGTTCTCGGTATTTGAACCCAGGTCCACACAAGATGAGTCGTGGATGCTCACTCCTTATGAGTCGTATATTAGGACAAAACAACCATCTAGTGCTTCCAGGTTTTCCACAGTAATCTAGCTTCAATTGGCTCATGAATTCAACTAGTATGTTACTAAAATCTCCACAACACTCTCTTTCCGATAGTTATTCTGAACTGTTTATGTCTTAGTAAATGTCATCTATCAAACAGTTTTAAATTATAGATAAGAAGGGTTTTTGTAGAGATTTTATTATTTCCATAGTTGAAATCATGAGTCAGTTGAAGCTAGACAATTGGTGAACGGTTGCTCAAAATCGTGGATTGGTTGAAGTTAGACATTAACACCGTTGGATGCCGACCAGCTCAGTGGTTTATCGGTTAAGTGCTCTGGAGAGAGACTGGCAGGTCCTGTGTTCGAATCTCGCTCGCGAGACGGGATCATGGATACGCATTGCTGAAGAGTCCCATAATAGTACGAAATGGCTGTCAAGTGCTTCCAGGTTTTCCATGGTGGTCTAGTTTTAAATTAATCGGTTTAAGTAATTATGTATTGTATTATAATAACTGTAAATTTGATTAAAATAAAAATTACTTAATGAGAGTTTTCTTTTGGTAAACCTAAATAAAAGTTATCATATGTGAGTACTATAGTACTTGATAAAATGACCTTGAAAAATAAAAAAAACTTTTGTCATTGATAAAGTACTTTAAAGTATAGATTTAATCATTGAATATTGACAGCTTCACTGGTAATGATTCAAATACTTCTACTTCGTTTAGTTTTAAATGTGAGTGGAAAACAAAACATACTTCGTAAGGATGTGATAGGAACAAGATGGGAGTTCTAACTAGCTTATAGTAACTTTTTATTTATTTATATAAACACACAAATATTGGTACAAGGAAGAACCAGATAAATATGCACCGCACAAATCTCATTCGATTTGTGTGAGGGCTGTGATACGGCCCAGGTGCCCAAACTGAAGAAGGTGGTTTTCTTAGGGGCCCACACTTGGAGCCTTTGATCGAAAGATCTGATCCACAACGCAGTGGAGCATCGTGAGGAGATGCAGTCCCATGGTAGATGGTGACCAACAGTTGGTTCATACGCCATTTGTTCCCTCAGGATACTAGACCCAGCTCATGTGCACCATTGGTTTGGAATCAGGGTTTTCCAACTCCCCTAGGTGGACTCGCAGTGTCCACTAACCTGGTTAAAGCGCCGGACATTCGCTTTTCATCTTCTCAATTTCCTAAGCAACACCCCCGTCACGAGAAGGCAGTGAGTAGGACTTCCCTGACAGAGGCTATATATGCGTGGCCATGTGGGATCATTTTTTGAGAGAGAGTCGACTCTTCCCACTCTCGGCCGTACCAGGGCATTTGGATTATTTTTCCATGAACATCAATTATTAGTAAGAAATGAGTTACCTTTTCTTGTTTTTCTGAGCAACCGAGAACTCTCTTAGTGGACTAATAACCACTGTAGTACTCGATGATGAACACATGAGAAATGTTTGTGAAATATTCTTTCTAATCAAAGTTCAGATCCATTTTATGAAAAATTTCTTCTTCGATTAAAATTTAAGAAATAAGATCAGGAAGAATCATAAAAATCATATTGCATACGATTTGATGATGGATCAATATCAAGTTTATTTCTTTTGAATATCAAACTATTGTTTACTTTTTCATTCAAAATCTTAATTAATTGCTTATTAACACCTGTTACTCCCAATGAAGCATAGGCTGTCAGCCAGTATTCTCCAACCCACTCTGTCCTGGGTCTTCCTTTCTAGTTCTATCCAATTTTTGTTCATTCTTCTCATGTCTGTCTCTATTTCTCGGCGTAATGGGTTCTTTGATCTTCCTCTTCTCAGTTGACCTTCAGAATTCCATGTGAGGGATTGTGTTGTAACTCAGTTGGGTACTTTCCTCAATGTGTGTCCGGCCCCCTTCCAGCGCTTCCTCCTCATTTCTTTCTCCACTGAAATCTGGTTTGTTCTCTCCCACAGTAGGTTGTTGGTGTAAGTGTCTGGCGAACGGATCCGAAGTATTTTGCGTAGACAACTGTTAATACACACCTGTATCTTCAGGATGATTGCTTACGTAGTTATAAAAGTTTCCGACCCATACAGTAGAACTATCTTGACATTTGTATTGAAAATTCTAACTTTGGTGTTGGTTGACAGACAATTGTTTTGAGTTCCATATGTTCTTCAATTGTACATATGTTGAACTTGCTTTACCGATACGCACCTTCACATCTGCATCGGAACGACTAGGTTCATCAATGATGCTGCCCAGATATGAAAAGCTTTTTACATCCTCGAATGAATAAAACTAACGAGAAAAAAATTATTCATTCGAAAACAATTTGCATATTTTGATTAATTCATTAAAGATCAGAAGGGGTTTTGTGGAGAATTTAGTATTTTCATAGTTGAAATCAGGAGTCGATTGAAGCTAGACCACCATGGAAAACCTGGAAGCACTGGACGGCTGTTTTGTCCTATTGTGGGACTCCTCAACGGTGCGCATCCGCGAACCCACCTCACGAGATTTGAACCCAGGATCTACCAGTCTCGCGCCAGAGCACTTAACCTCTGGACCACTGAATCGGCATTCGATGGTGTTATTGTCTAACTTCAACCAATCTACGAAGTTGAGCAACCGTTCACCAATTGTCTTCAGTGAGGTGATATCTCTACAACAGACTTGATTGAGCTCCACTGGTCACTGCTTCTTACTAGAACTCAAGGAAATATCTCTTGAAGTCAGTCATTAGTAAGCATATGATAATAGATGGATGCGCACTGTTGAGTAGTCCTACAATGGGACGAAACGGTTATCCAGTGCTTCCAGGTTTTCCATGGTGGTCTGGCTTCAATTGACTCATGACTTCAACTATGAAAATAATTCATGAAAGTAAAAAAGATGCTTGTCATTTTACAAACTTCATGGATCTGAATTCTTTTACCGAAACATATAAGAAATGTCTAATAGACAATTACTTAAGTATTTTTTTTGTAATATAAAAACATTTTCAGGACTTAATGCGATACAAGCATGGTATAAACAATCAGAAAATTATGACTATAATGAGGATAATCAAGAAAATAAAGGTAAGTTATTGTTGTAAATTTACTTGATATTGGTTAGCAGTGGAATCTAGTTTGACGCGCGGTTCGTTCTATTTGGGACTTTTCAGTTGGATGTATCTATATCTCAGAGTTGATATTTACTCTGAGACTCGAACCCAGTATCATTCGCTTCAAACGCTATTACGTTATTCACTTAGCTACTGAGTCCTGATATTGGTATTGTTTGCTCATATCTTTTCATTGTTGTTTAGAACTGCAATTGATCGGTATTTTGTTGGCTTTTGTGCATACTGTGAAAACTGCCTCGACATTGCCTTTAGTCCCAAATACAACGAAACGCTTTCTTCCTGGATTCCCCTGCTAGTATTCATCAAACTTCGACCGTAAAGTTATTGTTCTGTTATACTCATACAACTTATAAGTATGCGAAAATATTTCATTCTATATTTTAGTGTTTTAAAAATGAATTCAATAGTTGAGATTCTGAGTCGATTGAAGCTAAACCACCATGGAAACCTAAAAGCACTGGACGGCCTTTTCGTCTTATTGTGGAACTCCTTGTTGAATGATTGAATTTCTAGTGATTTCATAGATACATAAAAACAAAACCTCCGTTCGTTTTATCATTATTAGGTTAATTAGGAATTGTATTTGCATATATTTTCCGCCTTTCAAATATCCTTCATATTTATTTAATTAATGTACATTTGGTAGTGGTTTAGTAAACGAGAGTACAACATTGGATAATCAAATGCATTTGAACATAAAATTACAGAACTGCTTAGTAACTTTCAGTATCCACCAACCCGGTTAAAGCGCCAGACATTCACTTTTTGTCCTTTTAATTTCATAGACAACACTTCAATAGTGAGAATGCAGTGCGTATGACTTTTGTGGCGGTGGTTGTATATGGTTGGCTAATTGAGATCATTTTTCGATAACTAATTCTCCCCATCCTCGGTCATATCAGGGCATTCAGGGGCTTGGTCACAGTGGAAACGAAGGACCATTTGCTAGATAAAATTCGCTTGAAAAAAAACTAGAAAACTAGATTGTTATGACCTTGATAATAAGGAAGTAAATGGATTGTTTTGATGTACAACATATAGTTGAATTGATGAATTTAATGAAGATTTCGCAAGTCAGTAAATTTAAGATACTATACCAATAACTTATTGTAATAATTAAAAAAAAAAAGATATCGGATTATATAATAAATGTTTTGTTATACTAATATATGTTCTCTTCATAAGTGATTGATCACTTGGCGGTGATCTTTGTCATATGCGTCAAGTCTTTCCTAGTGCGAATCGAATGTTGTCGACCAAGCTGCAATGTGACCACTAATCTAGATAACTCGATACTGTGTGCACTATGGTGAGATAAGATGGTGGTTGGAGGTAGTTATATTCATTTCTAATCTATGATCTCTGATTTTATATAGTTAAGATCATGATATCATCATATGCTCACTAGTGACTGGCTCCATGAGGTAATTTCTGGAGTTCTAGTGAGAAGTCATGACCAGTGGAGCTAGTCCATGTCAGGTAGAGACAGGTATCTACCTCAATACAATGGAAGATGGTCGCGCAATTTCGTGTATTGGTTGAGGTTACACATTAACACCGTTGGATGCCAGCCGGTTCAGTGTTCTGTCGGTTAAGTGCTCTGGCTCGAGACTGGTATGTTCTGGGTTCGAATCTCGCGAGGAGGGATCGTGGATGCACATTGTTGAAGAGTTCCACAATAGGACGATACGACCGTCCAGTGCCTCCAGGTTTCCCATGGTGGTCTAGCTTCAATTGACTCATGATCTTAACTATATAAAATTAATAAAATCTCCATAAAAAAAACCCTCGTGACTATGATCTATGAGTTCTAGAGATTGAAAAAAAAGAACAATTATTCTAATCCATTTTTTGTTACAGGTTATTTTACTCAAATGATTTGGAAGAAAACAAAAAAAGTCGGATTTGGTTTTACTAAATCTGATGTTGGGAATACAATTTTTGTAGTTGGACATTATTTACCAGCTGGTAATAAAATTACAGAATATCAAGAGAATGTTCTATCAAGAATTGAAAGTAAGCTATTAGAAATATGACATAATATTTTCGGTATAGTGATTAGATTAGATTAATTACTAATATGATTTTGTATTGTAGTCGGGGGAATAAAGAGTATGAGGAATTCTCAGATACTGTTCCATTCATTGAATCCTATTGATTGTTTACTTATAATGCTACAAAATTTAAAGAGCTTTTTTGGAGGCTAAAGACGATGATTGGAGAGTGATTTGCATGACTTGTTTCGGAGACATAATGCCTTTTGAAATACACAAGTTATAGATTACATAATGGGTTTTATGGATATTATAGTAGTTTTAATAGCTGACATCATCAATCAGTTGAAGCTAGACCGCCATAGAAAACCTGGAAGGACTGGATGGCCGTTTCATCCCATTGTGTGACTCCTCAGCAGTGCGCATCCACGATCCAACCAGGAATCTTTCACATATCTGGATAGAATCTTCGATGAACAAGGAAAATCTGATGCAGGATTGAAAACGCAAAAGAACATTCTTACAGTTGAAGAACATGTGGAACTCAAAACAACTGTCAACCAATATGGAATTCACAATCTTCAATACAAACGTCAAGACAGTCAGTTCTATAGTACAGAGCTGAAACTTTGACAACTACTACAACCATTGTAAAGAAGGCACAAGTATTTATAAATAGTTGTCGACGCAAGGTACCTAACATCCATTGATCGGATACCATCATCAACAGCCTTCTGTGTGAGAGAACAAACTAGCTTCCCCCTGAAGAGGAAACTAAGAAAATTTGTTGGAAGTGGATAGGGCATACATTGAGGAAATCATCAAACTGCATCACGAGGCAAGCACTAACTTGGAATCCTGAAGGAAAGCGGAAAATATGAAGGCTGAAGAACACATTAGGAGCAAATATGAAAAAGATGGATAGTAACTGGAAAGGCGTGGGAAGTATTGCCCGTGACAAGGTTGGATCGAGAGTGGTGGTTGGCGACATATACGAGGGTTAACTGGAGGAAGTAAGTGAGTAAGTACTTAGCTATCCTAATCCAATGCATACTCAAGATCATTCAGATACCAATTCATTGAAGAATAGAAGTGCAGGTTACAGAAGGGAGCACTCGCTTGGTAAATGCTCATCCTGCAGTAAATTTCACTAGCGCAATTTTTATGTATTTTGACATGCCATATGCTGTAAGTATAGTAAAATTGGACACACCAAATTCGTCTATGAATCTGCTTTTAATTTTCCCACTAAATATGAAATGCCATGTAGTTGCTATTTTAGTAAGCTGGGTATTTCTGGTAATCATTTATGTTCATCCACGATTTTGCAAGGTAATGTCCTTGTTCAGAAGCAATTATATACCTCTCTTGGTTCATTCCATGACTTTACTATTGACACAAGCAATATAGAGTCACATCTCATTCCAGAATTATATGAAGCCTTATTAGCTTTGCATAACTCTGAAACGGCATTCTAACCAAAGCAATCTTATGTGCCGAGAAAGCTAAAGGGACTCCTATTCAGAAACTGATTGAGGCGACACAATGAATACAAGTGCATCAAATGGAAGTTAGATAATTTGTGAGACAAACGTTTCTAGTAAATCAACTTATCAGGTGTCTCATATTAGTTTACCAAGTATCGGTTTTCCTAATGATTCACATATTTCTGACGAAATTTCCTATAAAAATGAGAAAAATAAGTTGAATAAATCTAATAATGATTGGAGATCCGATGCAATTTTGATAAATGCTGATTCATCTAATGATCCATTATTCTCCATTGACATCCATCGTGGCTACACTTTTTCAATTGCGCTTAGTTCCAGGGAGACTGAACAAAAATTCAGATACTTCCATTGAACCACGGCAACAGTATAATGGAAGGTCGGACCACTGGGTTTCAAATGACCAAGGAAGTTAAAAAAAAGAGGAAAGCAAACATGACAGTTAAGGATTTCAAGCAAATAGAATGTACTATACTATTAATTTTCCAGACGAAAATACATACCTTCATCCTTTAAAATCTCATTTAAACGCTCTAATGTATACGAAATGAAACTTCCAATTTGCCTCAGGAGTAAACCCACCAATGTAATGGTAATCTGTGAGTGCCCATCCCAAGCCCATAGGGTTTATGGCGTTCCGGAAGTTTGTACGTTAATTAAGCCTGCGAATCTGGATCATAGCTACAGTGAGTAGCCCTGATTTGTCTGGTAATGCTCCTGGTTCATAGAATTTGTTTCTTAGATTAGGAGCACTTGCATATAAAACCCCTAGGGAGAACGATCTATTCACATAGGCCTTGGTAGCATCCGCTCCTAAGACCTGACTATTTGAAAACCCACAATCCAAGGAAAGTATTTCAGAAGAATCAAATCGTGATGACTTCATATCAAATGCCATTTGTCCTCACAACGTGTTTGTTTGTGGTGGGAAACTTGGTCAATGTGAAGCATAAGTTCGGACTGAATTCAAACCAAAATACAGTTCAGATGATCTCATATTAAATGCTGTTTATCCTTACCATGAAGTCACTTTCAATGGATCCTCTAGTCAATGTGAGAAATGTGTTTTAAATAAAACTATACCATTTATAGGAAATGAAGATCCAACATTATTTTGTGAAGGTGGACAGTGTTTGAACTCTAGATATAAACGATATCGGGATACACAACTGATATGCAATCAAATACAATTTCAGGACCCAGGTGGATCAGTTCCAGTTTCCATTGTTAGTTCTAATACTAATGAGTACATTCTAGATCATACAAAGTCTACATTCAATACACATTCGGTCAGATACATAATGAACCTGAGGAAACGAAGTATAATCGATTGCAGAATTTGGGATTCCCGTTTAATTTCTAGTAGTTGTGGTATTTTGTATGAACTAATGATTCTTTAGTGACCGATACTCTGCTGATTACGAATTCCAAATATGACTCGTTCATTTGTGCTTATCTATTACTACCTACCGTAAATTGCTCTATTTCAGGATTTGTTGACACATTAATTCAACTACTTCAATTTCGTATAAATATTAATAAATACTATTTAATTCCATTAACATAAAATTTATACTAAATCTCCACAAAACCCCTTCTGATAATGATAATAATAATAATATGCTCACTAGTGACTGAATTAGAGAGATAAATCCAGGAGTTCTAGTGAGATATCAACTTACTGAAGACAATTGGTAAGCAGTTGCTCAACTTCGTGGATCAGTAGAGGTTAGACATTAACACCATCGGATGCCGGCTCAGTGGTCTAACGTATAAGTGCTCTGGCGCGACACTAGTAGGTCCTGGAATGCGCACTGCTGAGGAGTCCTGCAATAAGACGAAATGGCCGTCCAGTGCATCCAGGTTTACCATGGTGTTCTAGCTTCAATTGACTCACGCATTCAACTATGAAAATACTAAATCTCCGCAAAATCCCTTCTGATAAGAATAATAAAATTTGAGCCATATCAGGTGATAACCAGTTTTATTGATGAACTTTATAAACTATCACTAAAACAGTACTTACATCTAATTTCATTTGTGTTCATTTTCTCCCTCTTGTGAGTGATGATTAAACCTTCCATTGAGTTAAATTCATTCTTGCAGGAGCAGATAAATGTAAAACGGTTCTATATGTTGAAGTGATTTCAAATGCAAATGGATGATTTTCATATAATTTTTCCCTTTATAGATAAAGCGGAATAGTCGCAACAAAATAATCCGGGTTTATTTATTCACAAGGTTTTGTCAAACTACTTAGAAAATTTATTAATATATTTAAACACATAAATATCGGTACAAGGAAGAACCAGATACATATGTACCGCACAAATCAAATGAGATTTGTGTGAGGGCTGTGATATTGTCCAGGTGCCCAAACTGAAGAAGGTGGTTTTCTTAGGGGGCCACACCCGGAGCCTTTGACCTGAAGGTGTAATCCACAAGGCAGTGGATCAAGGTTAGAGGATGCAGTCCCATGGTAGCCGGTGACCAACGATTGATTCATACATCATTGGTTCCCTCAGGATACTGGAGCCCATGTGCAACATTGGTTTGGAATCAGGGATTTCCAACTCTTCTTGGTTGACTCTTAGTGTCCACCAACCCGGTTAAAGTGCTGGACATTCGCTTTTCGTCCTCTCAATTTCATATACAACACTCTCGCCACGAGAAAGACAGTGAGTAGAACTTTTTGTGGCAGTGGTTGTATAAGCGTGGCCATGTGAGAGCATTTGTAGAGGGAGGACGGACTCTCCCCATTCTCGGCCGTACCAGGGCGTTTAGGGGGAACCTAGAAAACATAATAAGTTCATCAATTTTAAGATTGATCCAGTTCAATCCTGTTTGTCATGTAGACTAATAAATAAATTTTTGACTGATTCTAATAAACTACATACTTTGTTAAGGTCTTGCTTTCATAATTTTTACCGATAATATGAATTAAATATTTCATTTTAGGAGATCATGAAATGAGTAACGAAGATAACTGTTCGAATAGTTCTGATAAAATTCCCAAACAACATCGAAATTCCTGTTCAAACAGTCAGTGTGTCATAATTTAATACACGTGAATATTGACCTCCAAAATTTTCAACATATGTATTACATTCAACCAAAATAAGCCTGAATGAATATTCAAAACGTTCTAGAGGTGCACCATTCTATTATCGTTCACTATTCATGCGTGATTAAAAATTTTATTTCAAATTTTTAACAATAAATAATTGAAGTTTTTAAGAAATTTCTATAATATGATATGTATCGTGGATGTATTTATTTGCTAGTCTAAAGGAATCTTCATCACTAATGATTGCTGCACCAAACAGAATAAAACTTAGGGTCAAATGATCTTGAGGAGGCTACCCTATTTTTAATTAACTCACTTGGAATTTGGTTATTTTTGACGTCAATTTACTGCGAATTGGTGATGTGATGACATTTATATCAAGTGTCAGAAAAAAGTAGTCGCTATATTATCTGATGAGCTGGTGCCATAAGTTGCTGATACCCTCTAGAACACACTGAAATTAGGAGAGTATAAACCATAGCATATAATCTCCAGATTTATGGAAAGATAGATATTTTTGGTATCTAAGATCATCTCATTCAAACTAGTAGATGGCGTTGAGTCTTGATTGACTATGATCACCACTACAATAAGATTACGCGCCCACAAGAGACTTGGTTCCTTTGATTACTCGCAAACCAGAAGGCTGTAACTGGTCCAAGTAAAGTATATTTATCGGTGATCTCGTGGTATGGAAAGAGTACCGAGACTTGCCAACGAGTACAGGCAATAAGAGCAGAGCGTAAGAAAGTTCGAACCAACAAGATGGATAGCGGATCGAGAAGTGACTTTGATACAGTCAAACAACATCGAGTACAGTAAAACAATCACTGGTACAATTGGTTATAATAATAATTCTTTCCATTACTCCAACCGTATTCTTGTCGGGAAAAGCAGGTCACTGCAAGCTAATTTGGAGATTCTTACTTCATAATCGAAATTTGTTGTCCTGCAAGTGGCAACATAAGGTTTGACATATTTTATGAAAGATATAAGCAACCAGTTCTGTCTAGTAGATTTTGTTCCGGATATCACAACTTATCTGGAAGTGCTTACCACTGGACAAATATAATCGTTTTTGAATATGAAGTGAATTACTGGAAGTTGTAAAAATACTTTGTGAGACTAAGCGTAGTCAAGAGAGCCAAAATGGAGTTTGACGTTCCATTTGAAAAAAAGAATGCTCAAGTAAATTGAAATGTGGTCTTACCACAGACTGGTTTTTTTAGTTTAAACATGCTGACTAAGTTGGAATGGCCTGTATTTGAGAAATTTGTATCTTGATATTTCCATTACTAAAACCACAATGTGAGGTTAACGACAATACCAGGTTCAGGTTTCTTTAAATCCGACAAAACCAGAGGAAGCGAGAATGCAAAGATTTACATTAGCTGAACTTTTGACAGTGATTTTCATTGTAAGTTACCAATTCTTCTAGGGTAATATACCTACTATGGTGTAAATGACTGATCATGATGTTACTGTCTAAAATATATTGTCTAAATCATGTTCTGCCCTGGACTACCCTGAGTGATAGTCAGGGCTCCTGTGACGTTCGGATGTAACGGTAATGTCGTTGTACATACTTTCAATGATAACTTAGGTCACAAACTAAATAATCATCTAGTGGGTTTACGGATTTGCAAAGCCAAAGTCCTTCTTGCCTGTATTTGGCTTTATTTTTCTCTTACTGTCAGCTTCTTATCATTTTATACGGTGTGCAACTGGCAAGGTTTTACAGATAAAATTATTGGCCCCGTTAGTTTATGTCCATTTTGTACTATTCAGCTCCTTTCATTTGGATATTCAAATGCTGAATTTGGCAACCTGGTTTAATTCTTTCTGAAGCGCCACCTTCTCGGCCATTCTTTGGCAAGTTGACCTCGGAGACATCATGAGACCTAAGCTGATTATTTGGGTCTTTTATCGGTCCCATGACATGGTGTGAACAAGTTTTGTGTTCTAAGCCTTCACTCTCCCTTACCGTATGAAAGACGACTACGCTATCACTATGACCAGTCTTTAATTTCCCAACTCTTGTTTAGAAGACCGGCTTTCCTAGCGATATTATTTCTTTTCTTTCATGATTTGTGCTCATCAATCAGCTTTTACTGGGAAAAATATCAAAGTTGAGTCAGCATGATGACATTTTGGGCGATTGTCGATGACTTACGTGTTTCAGGCTGTTATATTTTTTTGCTAGAAACAGACTAAGCCTAACAGACGGGTCTTCTTCCTACCTGCTATGAGTAGGAGGGAGAGAGAGATAAGAAATTTCCTTTCTCCAATTTTTCTTATAGCGAACCTCTTTGAAGTCAATCATTCGTCCTTTAGACCAAATGAGTCAGTCAACTCTAGCTCATTTGGAGTGATTCTACATGGATTTGTGTGTCGATAGGGAAGGCACCACTTGATCCATCTCGAGTACGCCAGCTTACATGCCTTTTGGCACCATTTACTATTGTGATGGTTATAGATTGCAAGCAGTTCGCGTCCCGAAAGCATTACTAAGACAATCATATGCAATAATTTTTTTTAAAGACTATTTGGAAACTGCAGGTGTTGGATTCGTGGAAACGTCCATGTGCTCTCCTCCGCACTCATCGTGATGCGTGTTACTTTCTATAGGATATCCTCAGCTTAAGCGTCGGCAATTTTTATGTTCTATCTAGACCAATCAGAGGTTTTCAAAATGTTTAGACACAGGAAAACATGCAGATGAAACTTGACGACAAAAAAGTGAAACGTAAAACATTAGGTCTCAAAGTGCGACGAACATACAACACAGAATGCTCATATTCAATAAAAGACATACCAATTGCAGTCCTAAATGTAAGTGGGAATATTCAAACAACCAATACAAGAATGAGCTGAAATAACAAATGTACTCAATAAGTATTGAAGTCAAATAATCTTGATGAGAAGCGCTACTCTTGGTGTCAGCTCTAACGAATTAACTTAGGTTAGAAAATCTAGCCCTGATGCTTAATAAATAACTAGAACTATCATTCCAACGTGGTACTTTTAAATAGCGCTCAAGATTTCTTCCTGACAAAGATCCAAATGTGGATGAAGAAATACGCGAAACGCACGAATAGTACGCTTCCATCAAAAAATATCTTGGCTATTTATCTTTTTCATCAGTTTGAGTTTCACCTTACCAACAGTGCCACAACTCAAGGTTGTTTGTTCGCAGTTGTTCAAATGGTAAGACACAGGGTGTTTGTTTATTCTACAAATAAAGTTGTCCCTAAGATGTCTGTTTATTGTGAATTCAAAGTAACGTTTTTCTAACAAAAAACACGTTTAAAAATTTTCCGCTGTTCTTTAGTCATAGACTTTCGCTTCAAGTGTAGTTAGTTTGTTTTCATTTAAAAGTCCCCTACTGTCAATTGATTCTTCTGAATAAGATGTTGAGGTTCATGTATTTAAGCTTTGTAGTAACAGTATAAGCTCATGAAACTATAAATACTGGAGGGTTTGAGTAATTCTGAAGATTACTTCATTCTGTCGATGGAGCATAATTTACTATGATGATTTGGAAAAAGTCAGTTCTCCAATGAAATGACTGGTCATATATACGTGGTGCATTGTATTGAGGATAGTAGTGATTTGTTTGTTTGGCCTGAGAGCAGTTAAAATGTCCTGGATCTCGGCATTCACTAAATTATTCGTTTTAGTGGAAGTTAGTAATTACTTGCCAATAAGATACATATCATTTTAGTTTCTTCGTTTTTAAAGTGTGGAAGTAACGACTTGCAACGATACACTCAATTTAACAGGTTCCCAATGTCAGCTTACTTTCATACTACTTTATAACTTGACGTAGTCCATGTACGTCAAGTCAGCTTCCAATCGGTGTAAAAAATTTGTCGATATGTTGTAACATAAACCATGTAAATTCATTTGAGGCTTATGTGGTTCAAAGCAATGCTAGTTTCGGTTTTCTTTTTGTTCAGATGACAAAACCTAAATATTGTTTTAGCCAAATCAAATACAAATGCTAGGTGGATCTAGTCAAAAACTATAGTTATAGTGCTGAAAGTGTAGAATAGGCTTTCTTTTTTTTCGACTGAATTTTCAACACAAATTATCTTGTGTGTATAGCATTAAGGATAGTCAAAAACATTACGTATATAGAAGAATGTTCAGATCCACTTATTTGCACATAGAAATCGTACCGTTTAGTGAATCTTTTCTTACAGTTAATTATTTTTACATATACTACTACTATTAATAATAACACTAATGCTATTACTACTTCTGTTATCATGATGATTGTTTGATAACTGTGTTGCTGTACTAACTTTATGTGATAGCCTAAACTGATGATTGTGTCAGTTTCTTCGTTGCATATGACTAATGAATGGCTACCTGAAATGATGTTTAGCTATTGCTTGACAACTGATCAACCTTAATGCTGACTTGTCTATCAGTCGTACAACTTTGGTGATTTTAAAGTTATCATTGTAGTAGAAATCTTGACGGGTTACTATTTCTTTCTTTCTGTCAAGATACTAGTCACTTTATTTAAGGTTTCAGTCGGAATGCCCATGTAAATCGATTGATATTATTTACTTATTGTACTGTATTGAGGGAAAGTTTGATTTATTACAGAGACGCTATATAAAAAGGATAATAGCTAATGTAGTTTTCATGTTTTGGAATCCGGTTATCATTCGAAGGTTGTGAAACTTTGAATCCATTTGGAGAAATCAGGTTATGTAAGGTTTGGTTTCGTTTGGAGTATTCCTAACCTGTTTTTAGTTTGACAATATGAATTAAGTGGATTGTATGGTTTTGTCTCCCAGGATATGTAAATAATGTAGCACTGATATATTGAAGATCATTTATAGCGTAAATACAACTAACGTTTATTAAGTAAGGATATTTTTAGTACAAGATATAACTTTGTGTAATGTACTTATTGGTAATTGTGATTTAATGTTATGGTGCTGTAAAACATCTAAAGATAGTTAACCCTCGGTAGATATTGTTTATTAAAATGGCTAAATTAGTATTTTATACGTTCCTAATGCTTAGAACTGATGTGTTACCTTGTACAAACTAGACCAGAATATCGCTTACCATTATTTTTTCAGCATCACATTGGTATTAAATATTTTACATCGGAGGACATGGTGTATCTTAGTAATCTAAATGCTCGGAAATGACTGGTTTATAGAAAGTCTGTAGCAAATACAACTTAATCTATTGTTTGAAGGAGGTTATAATGAGCAAAACCAAGCTTAGTTATTTAATTTCATCCGTCTCCTTTCATACACTAACATTTGGGAATCTCATCAGCCCTTGTGGCCTGGTGTGTGACGAAATCTCAGCACGGATACAGAAGGCTCGTCTAGCTTTCGCCAACTTGCGTTATTTATGGTGTAGGCGAGATATCCGTCTAGCGACCAAATTATGGGTTTACTGCGCAGCAGTTTGTTCCGTCCTACTTTATGGCAGTGAAACATGGCCGATAAGAGTAGAGGATATTCGTAGGCTACTAGTTTTCGATCATAGGTGTCTTCGAATCACTGCTCGTATATCCTGGGACCACCGAGTAAGCGATGCAATTGTTAGGAAACGGGTACTAGGTAAGAATGGCAAGTCGATTGATGAAGTAGTGAAACGTCATCAGTTGGGATGGCTGGGACACGTGTTACGTATGCGCAACCACCGACTGTCCCTACGTGCAATGTTTAATGGTGTACGAGTAGGTTGGAAGAAAGCTAGGGGTGGCCAGACCAAAACGTGGCACAAATTCATGAAGTCACTGACAATTGAACTGAGCCATGTTGGTAGGTGTAGACTACCTGGTTGGGATTCGCGAGATGATAACAACCGATGGTTAGAGACCTTGAATGACATGGTTCAAAATCGTTTGGAATGGCGCAGGTGCATCCACTCTTTGTGTTCTCCCAAATTCTAATCTTCCAAATTCTCCATGTCTCTATCTCTTTTCCCTTTCCAAATTTATTTCACTGTATTATACTCCTTTAATTAACATCTTCAAACCCTAGTCTTTCGGATTATTGCTTATACTCTTACTACTCCTACCACTATGGGGCTTGAATCGACAACTAGATCTATGTGTTAATGTGGTATGGCAAATCGAACCGATGTACGTACGTACGAAGTTCTACGTTGTGACTGACTGACATACACTAATATAAGCTGAGCACGGCAAAATATTTTACTAGTCGATGATATTGTCTTTAAACAAGATGGGCACACAAGAGCCTTTGGAACAAGCTAGTAGAGTGAAAGGCGAGCAACTATATGGATTAGTTCGACTGGTTTTCAGTCATTTCTTATTCGCCTGGTATGTAACCGTAGGATCTATAGGAAAGGAATCCAACCCACCTACTCCACTAAGCAAACTGAACAAAATGCATAGATCAGATGGCCAGTTGGTCATTATCAATGTATCGGACAGGAAAAATGTGCTTCTTTGCAAAACACACACCTTGTTAGCACAAGGAGATAAAATTAGCGAGATGAAATACAAAGTGGTTAATATTATAGTGTTATTATTAATTGTTATTAATTATGCTAAAGAAGACTAAACATCGAGAATTCGCCTCTAAAAGAAGGAATGAAATGGTACGTATAATGGTGCATTGAAATTCAACGTCTACAGATAAAATAAAAAATGAATACATTTGAGTCACTGCCAACTATTTCGAGCCATCATGCCGAACCTCACTAAATCCGATGGTCCTCACCTACCAACGAACTTCAGTGTAGTAGTAATTGAACCCATGAACTAATTAAAAGAACGCTATGTCGTCCAAAAAGAAATCAAAAATTGTATTCATATTTACTGGAAAGCTAATTGATTCAAGACTTCGGTCTTTTACTATCCCAGGTTGTGCAAACAGTGTCCATGGAAAAATCTGACGGACTATAGTTTCAATTGAAATCTTTTATACATATTTTGAAACTAATGTGTACACTCATTTCGAAACGATCTTATATCAATTCCTTAAAAAAACAATAAAGAGTTAATGCGATTCAATCAGTGATGACTTCACAAACCTCACTTATTAATATCCTAATTCTAATGAACTGAAATTAACTTGAAAGGGACACAAGTTAACAGTTGAGGAATAAGTGATAAGTAAGATGGGTGGTTAGCATGTCCACATATTTGTAGTAGGTTCTGACAGACATCATGTGAAATATATAGTCACTGATTTTTAATTCAAGAAATCTGATCCATACCTTTACGCTCCTCAAACCATTTGCCATTTTCATGGACTCCTGTCAATTCTCGATACGGATTTACTAAAGTTGTTTCGGACTTATTAATATTCTAGTCTATGTTATACGTTGAAATATCCTCTGTTTTAGCATTGATGATGCGTTTTCAAGTCAAAATAAGGTTGACATTTACAACCTGATGAGTTCGTGTGCTATGCCAATATTTCATAACCCCACATTTAATGCAATGAACGAGCCTTCTATCCTCTTCTCCCCTGTTCAACTAACTACAGTAAAAACTTTAGTTAATTACTGAAAGGTTTGTGGATGATAACCTCAGTATAATTAAAAAAAACATTTCGGTTAGCCGATTATATATCAGTTGCAATGCTTAGATTGTATGCAATGGATAGTTGTCACTAACTACAAATCATGGTAATAATATGTTAAAAATTCATAAGCAGAGTTCACACTTAATGATTTCATGTAACGGAAATTCATACCAATCGATGGAGACTTCTTTTCTCATGAGATTTATTTCGGATTTTGATATCCACAATACAACCACACTAATTTTCCACATTTACAATAGAATATATATGTTTGCAAGGGTTTCGGTAAAGTGTTCGAAAGGTCCCTGTACTCTTCACTGTCATTGTAATAACTTGAATTTTATTCGCTGAATCAAGATTTTTTCAATCTGATGGTGTTGATATCTTTTAAACTTATTTAATTTAACTGATGGCTTCTAATTTCAATCGAAGTAACTTTGCAATTGATTACCTATATACAGATTCATCTATCATATTATCACTTATGTGCTAGCCATTGATACTATTCAACGACCGTTTACAACAAAAAAGGCAGAGTGACTACACAATACATTGTGTGGTAACCTGAAGTTTGTAACTAGATTTTAATCTGTTTGAGGCACAGTATTTCATTTGGGAGGTCTGAAGGATAACCTAAGTCGTTATTTCCGGGATGTAAGTGTACGTCTC